GAGAGAGGAATACAACTGGGATCAACCTCCAAGCATAAGGCTCAAGTAGACGGTACGATCTGCTCAATAGTTGACAAAATCAGCCAGCGCGCTTGGTCTTTAGTATCCATCACACACCGGAAGATGAGGAAGATCTGCGCCACAAACGCTGAAAGGGGGATCGCGAGATACGCCGCAAGAGCAGCCCAGACAAGTTGGCCTAAAGGGAGCTTCAGTTCAAGCTCGTTAAGAGTGTTCAGCATGCTGAACATACGACCAAAGAGGAGCTCCGCATTGCCAAAATTCGCGATTCTACCTCCTATCGGTTAGTGTTGACCGAAGGATTGGGATCCTGTTGTGACACACCCATAGTACCAAACGACATAGATCGAGCTGCATAGCCCTCATCAGTCTCAATGGCCTATGAAATGAATCTAGGAAACACACAAAGCTACGTGCGTCGTGTTGAGCAGCAGCAGAAAGGCCATTGGAGCCCTGTCCACGCCATAAGCACAAAGTTCCAGACATGCAACGCTCGACTGACCTGATCCAAATCGGGTCTCGATAGTCTAGAGGAAGGATAAGAACATGCTTATTCACCAGCCAAGTGAATCATACCAGAGGCAAAGTACGTTAGATACTGGTAGGTCAAGATCCCGTAAATCCATGTCTGCACTATTTCCAATCGTTAGTATCATACAGACCTGGGCTGGAGGGGAAAACACATACAGAGTGTCCCAAGGTAACTCCCACCTTTCAAAATCCCGTCAGTTAGTATTGGAGGTTATGAGAACGGAAGAAAACTCACCCAGTGTCTGCACGATGATGGACATCTTGACGGTCAAGTGGTAGCAGTAGTTGCTCAGAGTGGAGAGAGGGCGAATGGGCTCGTCTCTTAACTATCGCCGTTTACATTCTTGTTCGTCACGGACTTATGCTTCCGACGCACAGTTTTCCTCCTTAGACACAAGACAATACGAGAATTGTGGCGCCCCACCAGGAGTGACTGCGAAGGGCTAGCCCCCTGGAACCAAAACACACATACAGCTCATCGGCATTTCCTCAATTTGGCTCTGGAAAGACCTGAATCTATTCCAGTCATGCCATGGAGCAGGTCAGCTATTGAGTACACGCCTTCATTGGAGCACATGTTTGAGGCGCGACGCTGTTGTTGTTCTAAGCGCGGTAGAGAATTGTCGTCGATCAAACAAGAAGCTGCATTCAAACACGCGATCGTTCCAGCTCGCGGAAATGACGTCCTTTTCGCCCCTAGACAGGATCTTGCGAACAATAGGTGAGTGCAGAACAAAGGGGATATCTCTAGCACACCATAGACGATGGGTTACATTCCCTAAGTGTGCCCTCGAATGGATATGAATATTTGAATGGGCGTGGATGACAAGACTTTAGCGCCCATCAAAACGGTCTGAACAGAGGAGCACATGCCCAGCAATGGTTCTCACGCAACTAAAGAAATATTCGGACCTGGATGAAGAGAGTCAACAATCTATTCATGTTTCGAGAAAAGAAACTACTTCAGGAAATTCACTAAGCGAGTAAGTAATGATAAATGTACACTAAAGCAAAGTCTTAAATAGACGTCCAGTCAAAAATCCACGACTCGTAAGTAAAGTATCATCCACGAAAAGAAATATAAAAGCGAAATAAAAAATGTCACGAGCGACAAAGATTACTCAAGGAAACCCTTTCCCTCTCCTCTCCGTATCCACAATCAAATCCACAACCTTGTCTCTCGCATCCTCCATCGAGCCCTCACGGTCCCCATCTTCAAACACTCGACTCCCCAACGCCTTTCTCAGCGAAAGCAACGCCTGACCCTCTTTCGACACTCTCGCTCCAGTCGGTGACGGCGGCGGGCTAATCAACAAGCTCGACACTGTCGGGGTATTTGAGCCGCTGAACATCCGCTTGTACAGAACGAGCGCGGTGAGGAGCGCTCTAATCTCTCCATCGACACCACCCTCGTTGGTCTCGTCGGCAACGTCGGAGAGGTGGAGGTCGTCGAGGAGAGTGGCAGAGGACGACTTCCATACACGTTCAAGTGTACATCCGAGTTCCTCGATCGAGCCTCCGAGTTCTTTAGCAGCGTCGATGGTCTTGCTGATTTCAGCTTCGAGGTTCTTGGATTCGTCCTTGTCCTGTTCGACAATCTCATCCTGGGACAAGCTGACAACCTCGACAAAGAGAGCGCCCAAGTGCCGTTTGACACGCTGCTTGACGATAGTCGCACCGAGGACTTCGATGGGCGTGAGGGCGGATTCGCCGTTGGTTTTGTCTTTGGGTGAAGCCTCCGCGAGAGCCTTGGTGGCGTCGTCCAACTGGAAGGACTCCATGACAAGCTTCTCAAAGGCTTTGACAGGGGTCTTGGTGCTGCGAGCGGTTTGGATGAGCTCGGACTGGGTCTTGGCAGCGTTCCAGAGCGACTGAGCCTTGAGACGTCCGGCGAAACCAAGAGCGCCACCGGCATTATTGAAGAGCAGAGAGGCGGAGGTGAGCTGAGAGACAGAAGCCGTCTTGGAAGAGAGGGCAAGGTAGGCGCGAGCGAGCGAGAGGGAAGACAGAGAACTCGATTTGCCTAAGGAGATTATCAGTAGTGGAACGCTAAACACTCTTGAATGAAAGGTACCTTGAAGGACAGCATCGTCGCAAACAGAAGACCAGTTGGTCTTTGCATCAATCGGTGTGAGCGCAGTTGGTGTGGTCACAACCTCCTTCACTTCCTTCCTCTTTCTCAAAGTGAATCCGAGCCAGCTCCAGAGGAAGCTCCCCAGGACCAGCACAGACACAACGAGATGGATAACTTGGAGATAGTCCTTCCATGCCCACGAAATGTCCAAGAATCGACTCGAGCTTTCTGTAGGCGGAGGAACGAGTTGGGACACAATCTCGGGAGCAAGCGCCAGAGGTGGTGTCAACACCATACCGCTATGCTGGTGTGCCCCTCCTTGAGACGTATACCGTGCTGTCAAGGGCGAGTTGAAGAAAGAAAAGAGGGCAAAGACAGCCATCATATACTGAGGCGCCTGCTGACGGTGGTCGGGAGCATGCATCATCTGGTCAGGGTGAGGCTGATGTTGCTGCTGAGCCATAGCAGCGGCCTGTTGGTGCGAAACGTGAGGAGCGAGAGTCGCAACAGGCATAGGTGGAGGAACGACCTTCCTCGGGCGTCCTCTCTTCCTCTTCTCTGGAGCTGGTGCACCAGGTGCGAGCTCGGCCAGACCACTGGGGGCAGCAGCGGGTTTACGCTCAGCAGCAGGCTTCTTCGGGGCCGGAGCAGTCGTCTTGGCGCGTTTCCTCTTCTTGCCGACAACCTCTTCGTCATCTTCTCCATCTTCATCATCACTATCATCGTCCTCTTCCTCGCCCTCGACTTCGTCTCGCTCCTCTCCACCAAAGTTCTCTGTCCACCGCTGCTCCCAGTCCTTCAACAGCGCGGGACCACCAACAAGACCAGAGATAAGAGCCTTCAACCCGTTCTGCTCGGCCTTGAGCCTAGTTTCTCGCTTCTTCAGTACGCGAATGTATTCGACTGCCTTGCCGAGAACGTTGGCCTTGCTGCACTTGCGGGCCACCTTGACACCATCGACAAAGCCTCGCTCGTCAATCACATCGACTGTCGTTCCATCCTCGGTATCGATACCGATTCCAGCGCCTTTGAGATAAACGCCATCCTTGAGGTTCTTCTTGATCTTCTTGCCATTACCTCCGTCTCTGTCTTCCAGTACGCGAAGAGCAGGGACGGCCATTCGCAGACTTTGGATACGGGCGTTGAGGTTGGTGCGGTATCGACGTTCGATGGTCGTGTGTGAAGTCTTGGGTCGACCGCTGATACCAGTGAGAGGGGGCATAGCGCTGACGGGTGTGCTGACAGAGGAAGAAGATGAGGAAGACGAGAGGGGCTTGTTATGCATGCTGAGCTTATTGGCAAGGGATGTGTTCATGGGAGGTGTTGTTGGTGGGGGTGTTGACGCTGCCGAAGAGCTGGAAGAAGTGGGAGATCTCGGTTGAGCCGAGCGAGATTGCTGAGGGATGGCAAGTCGATTTGAAGAACCTGCAGACATGTTAGCAACTAATTTGAGTATATACTGGCGGTGCAAATACCTGCAGCGGCCATCGAGTGAGCAAGCGCTTGGCTTGATAGGTCCGCGGACATTGGGACAGCGAGCATGACACCTGCGCTCTGGCGAACGCGTTCTGCAAGCTCTGCAACTGGATCCAAAGCCTTTGGTGCCTCCCCTTGCCTTGCCTCCACCTTGACGGGGGATGGTGAAGGAGCGCTACCATAACTTGAGGATGGGCTGGACAACGACTCGAGGACGGGTGAAAGAGATGCGCCAGACGATGAGGAGGAGGAGGTTACGCTGAGTCTGCGCTCCTTGTTGGATGATTCGGGGGAGGAGAGTGAAGAGGTCGAAGAGGTTGCGACAAAGGTGCTGGCGCCTGCGTTCAATGCCTGCTGGAAGGTGAACGCAAACTGTGGGGGCATCATCTCTGACGAGACATTGTGGTATGCAGCATCCTCGAACGAGAAATGCATAGGGTTGTACTTGAGCGGGTCGTAGTGCAGGGCCCCTGGTTCCATGCCGAGTGCTGGATTGAAATCCATGTCCATGGGCAGAGAATTAAGCTCGCTAAAGTCCATGAGGTCCGGGTAGGCTTTCAGGGCAGCATTGGCAGCGTCTGTGCCATCCCAGAGCGAGCTGAGCTGTGACCAGTCCTGGGGATTCTGACTCTCGCTCTGAGCTGAGCCATTATCCTCCATGGACGAATCAGAGTTCTGAAGGAGAAGGCTGAGAGGGTCGTTCGGGTCTAAGCCCAGATCTGTCGACATGGTTCCTTCAGGAAATATGCTTTCAGGCAGGAGAGATGGTGGTGGTTGTGGGTAGAGAATCAAGTCGAGCCATTCCCTCAATCTGTAACACCCATTAATCTCGAACGACTTTCCACGCAGTGCATCGCATGTGGCTTAGTAACTCTTTCGGGTCGTATTCCTTGAATACGCCGTCGTAGCACAATGGTAGTGCGTTGCTTTCCTATCAGCGTGTGATGCGAAAATATTGTAGAGGCAGAGGTTGAGGGTTCGATCCCCTTCGTCGGTTTTTAAAGTCATCGCCGTAATCTTTTATTTTTTACGCTCTATTGCTTTTCGAACACTTGCAGGCCTAATTGGCCCTGTTTGTTGGGTACCTCAGGTGAACTCACCATCAAACCTAGTAGGTCATGGGGTGCAGGAGTAAGGAGTCACGCGTTCCGAAGACGACTAGCGACCGAATTGTGGCGCAAAGCCATGAGGCCTTTAAACCTGAGGGATGCGGTCCTGGCCAGCACCCATCTTCAACCACAATCACTACCTCTAACAGTCTTTAACCTCTCACCATGCAGGTAACCGAGCTTATCAAAGGGATTACAGTCGAACAATACTTATCATGTCGTGCAGATTTTCGTCAAGGGCCCCTCTGCACAGCTCATTCCCTATGCAGTCGAACCGGCCGACACAGTCGAAAGTCTCAAGAAACAGATTGAGGACAAGGACGGTATTCCTATCGAACAAATACGCCTGATCCACCCTGCTGGCGAAGTCAAACTGCTCGAAAACGATCATGCTCTTTCCGAGTACAACATCGAGGAGGGAGGCACCATTGTCTTTGTAATTCATATCAAGGCTTAGACGTGTTGTACACGCCATACACCACCCATTCCACCGCCTCCGCGGCGGTTGCCCTGATTCGCCGTGTATATTATTCCTCAGATTGTATCTCAGCAGTAACGTGTACCAATATGGATCTTTTGAACGATTCCAATTGAGTTCCCTGGGCAGCCTTCACCTTCAAGTCTCTATCGCAGTGCCTGGCGCGCACAAGCAGATCTTCCAGCAAGAAGATCGCAAGCTAATTCGAGAGCTCTCCGCCCCATCCAAGCGATTCATCTGACCTCGTCAGTTTAACACAGAGTCACTTCCCAGAATTCAAAGATCCTGCGCTCAGTGCTGTGAGGAGTCTGAACATGAACGAGTTCATGTAGTATGACCTTCCCACTCTAGCAGGAGTCTATCTCACCTTGGAGGTGAAGGTGAACAAAGGGGGCAAGCAGGACCACATGACAGTCGATGCTGAGGACGGCGCAGAGGCTCGCATTGTGATAGGAGGCTGCGACAAGGTCTCTAATATCGCAGAGGCCTCTTGGAAGATTGTACGCTGAGCCACATCGCCTCTTCTCTCTTGATCCTGACGAAGGTAGCTCGTCGTGCCTACTATGGTGTTTCTTGGAACATCCTTCTTATGCTCATTTGCCAGGAGTGTTTGCCGTCGCGCATCTTGTCCGCGTTTGTGTGCGCATCTTTCCTTATATATCTCGTCGAGTGACTGGAAACTAACGGCACCTCTGCAGTAGTCTCCGTTGCTGACCATACCACTTCTGATGATGAGTCGATCATTTTGTGTGTAGCATGGAGACACCTGTCAGTGTCATTTGCATCTGGCAACGGCGGAAGACCCGTCTGGACTCTGGGCTCGGATCTCTTACCTGCTCCCGCACATCATGTCCAAGTCTATTGTCGTCCTGGGTGCTGGTGCGTACTGCCCACCGATTGAGACCCACTCAATACTCACTGATGATGCGCAGGTGTGATTGGATTGACTACTGCCTTGAAGCTCCAAGAAGAGGGCTATCGAGTCACTATCATCGCTGAGATCTTCCCGACTGATCCCAAGAATGCGAAATATACTAGTCAGTGGGCTGTAAGTATCTATTGTCCGTCTCGAGCGCTTGTTTTAATCCCTGTGATCTACGCGCTAGGGTGCACACCATGTTAGCTTTTCAGCTACAGAGGATTCGCGCCACGGTACGTACGGCTTAATGATCTGCACAGCAGACGATCCTGATAGCAGTTGAATCAGCTCTAGATCGCGAAACGTTCACAGAGATGTGGAAGTTGTCTGGAGAGAACGAAGCGGAGGGATGTTTCCTCCGCTTGCAGCAAACCGAGTTCTTTGGTTACGAGAGGCCTAGTCCTAGCCCTCTCCAGCACATGCCAGAGGTAGATTGGTCGTATTACAGGGCCTTTCTAATGCTCATCTTCACAACAGTTCCGAAGTCTTCCGAAGGACGAACTCGTCGACGGTGCAGTGACCGGGGAGACCTTCAAGACAGTTACTATCGACATCCACAACTATCTCAACTACCTCCTGTCCAAGTTCCTCTCGCGCGGTGGCAAGACCGTCCGTGGGTCCGTCCAACACCTCTCTCAAATCGCAGAGAACGGCGTTGCACCCTTCCTAGAGCCAGCCGAACGAAAATACCACTCCTCTCTCAACCCTTCCTCATCTCCTGATGCCATCGTTGTATGTGTCGGGCTAGGAGCAAGACATCTAGGCGGAGTAGAAGACCACGACGTCTACCCAATCCGAGGTCAGACAGTCTTGATCCACGCACCCTGGATACGATTTGGCAGGACGCTAAGCGAAGCCAACATGTGGACCTATGTCATCCCCCGACGGAGCGGGAATGTCATCCTTGGAGGCACGTTGGGCCACGATGATTGGTACCCCCAAGCTCGTCCTGAGACGACTCGCGACATCATAGAGAGGACGCTCAAGCTGTGTCCTGAGCTTGTTCCTGAGCACTTGAGGAAAGATGGGAAGGAGCCGACGGTGGAGGATGTTATGCCGCTTGTGGTTGAGGAGGGGTGTGGATTTAGGCCCGGGAGGAAGGGAGGGCTCAGGCTTGAGGCGGGCAAGATCAAGGTGTCGGCCGTCAGCGACAAGACGATACCTGTGGTCTACAACTATGGGTAAGTGGGACCATCAACCAGTAATGTCAAGCTGATGGAGAATCCCAATTGCAGGCATGCCGGAGCTGGGTACATCGCGTCCTTTGGGACTGCACGTGTGGTGGTCGATCTTGTCAAGGCAGCGTTGAAGAACTGATGTAGCATCACCGGAGACCCAAGGGAGAGAGGTGCGCAGGTAGACTAGTAGAGGCACACTCGGCATTTGCACAATGGCTATTCTGAATCAATCTTTATTTCGTGGATCGTCGAGGGAGGAGCCCTTCACGTCTGTTTGTGCTCCGGACACATCGAGAACTCCTAATCTTTAATTGACAGTGGATTTGTGTGGGCCCGGGTCAGAAAGTATGTTCTCCGACTCGGTCGAGCCCAAAGTGCAGCACCCGTTTCGAAAACCCGTCACACTCGGATCTAAACTTCTTGGCCAGCTACAATACAATGTCCAAGTCTATCGTTGTCCTGGGTGCTGGTACGTACTACTTATCGAATGCCACGCATAGAACATCCATCGCAGCTTAGGGGTTATTGGATTGACGACTGCCTTGAAGCTTCAAGAGGAGGGCTATCGCGTCACTATTATCGCTGAGATCTTCCCTACTGATCCCAAGAATGCGAAATACACTAGTCATTGGGCTGTAAGTCACCAATTTTTGTATTAGACCCCTTTCTTACCCCATTAATCTGCACGCCAGGGGGCCAACCATGTTAGCTTCTCATCTCCAGATGACACACAACATGGTATGTACGAATCGAGCATCTCCATGCCAAACGATCCTGATGAAAGCGGAATCAGCCCTGGATTGTGAAACCTTTACAGAGATGTGGAAGCTGTCCGAGTCAAACGAGACAGAGGGATGTTTTCTGCGCTTGCAGCAGACTGAGCTTCTTATGTATGAGAGGCCCGGTCTGAGCTCTCACCAACACAAACCAGAGGTGAACGAACAATGGGACGATGATTTTCGGTGCTGATTGAGCTCGTCCCGGTGAATTATAGTTCCGAGTGCTCTCCAAGGAAGAGCTCGTTCATGGCGCAGTAGCTAGGGAGACATTCAAGACGGTGACTATTGACGTTCCCAACTACCTGAACTACCTCTTGTCCAAGTTTCTCTCCCGTGGTGGCAAGCTCGTTCGTGGGTCCGTTCAGCACCTATCACAAGTCGCAGAGAACGGCGTCGCTCCTTTTCTCGAGCCTGCTGAACGCAGATATCACTGTTCTCAAAACCCTTCGTCCTCCCCTGACGCCATCGTTGTGTGTGTCGGACTAGGAGCAAGACATCTAGGCGGAGTGGAAGATCAAGACGTCTATCCCATCCGAGGCCAGACAGTGCTGATCCACGCGCCCTGGATACGATCCGGCGGGACGCTGAGCGAAGCCAACATGTGGACCTATGTCATCCCCCGACGCAGCGGGAATGTTATCCTGGGAGGCACGATGGGTCACGACGATTGGTACCCCCAAGCCCGTCCTGAGACGACTCGTGACATCCTGGAGAGGGCGCTCAAGTTTCGCCCTGACCTTGCTCCTGAGCACTTGAGGAAGGACGGAAAGAAACCTTCGGTCGAGGATATTATGCCTCTTGTAGTTGAGGAGGGGTGTGGATTTAGGCCTGGGAGGAAGGGAGGGCTAAGACTTGAGGCCGGCGTGATCAAGGTGTCCGCGTTGAGCGATAAGACCATTCCGGTGATCTACAACTATGGGTGAGTTGGATTATCAATTGGCAATCGTTCAAGTGTAAGCTGATGGAGAATTCTATGTGGAGGCATGGCGGGGCTGGATATGTCGCGTCTTTTGGGACCGCACGTGTGGCGGCGGATCTCGTTAAGGCAGCTTTGAAGGACTGATGTAGCATTGCTAAAGGAGACCATAGGCTGGAATATCCATGATAATATTTGCCTCCACGTTTACCAGCAAACGCGAAGAGCACACTCACTCCCAAGTTCGTATCCAATCCATCGTGTGCCGCTTGCTCCCTTCGAGCATACCTCAGGAAGCTTTAAAATACACTTGCCTATCCTCCGACTCGGGTAAGTACCCAGGGGACATCGCGAAGTGTTCAGTGCAACGTTGGGCAGTGAGGGACACAGCAAAAACACTCTCGCACAGACTTTGGGTCGTCTTAGCACGGCTGGATGGAATTAAAGGCGCCTAGACGAACTCTAATCTATTGATTAGAAAAGGGCCAGGGTTTTGTCTACCCTCATTGCCGCTAGGCCTCCTCCAGGCGCGGCTCAAGCCTTCTGGTGCCATATAACCTGTAAGAGGTCCTTGGTCGACAGATCAATCAACACCTCATGAATCTTATCTACCAGAAA